AGAAATTCTTACTCTTTAAAGGTGATATATCACTTCTGCACAAAAAAAAAAACCAACCCTTTCCAGACTGCTTTATACTTCCCCTTCAGATAACATGCTGTTCCACTACCAAGTAAAATGATATTTATCTGTCAAATACATGAAACTGAAAGCAAATATTCTAGTAACTTTCACCAACTTGTCTATATCTGTCAACTCCTTGTAATCAAAGTAACTTCACATTTTACAAAGCATATATGTCACTCTGTGGGTTATTTGCTTCAAGAATCTTTCTTCCATGAAGCACAGTTCTTCTGCTCACAGATACAGTAGGACCTATAACTCCTGACAAAAGAAAGTTGGTTCCCATAGTCTAAAAGCAAGAGTCACCACATATGCAAAGCACCCAAGTATCTTTAGACAAGCACTAGAGGTGGCTTGTTTTTTCTTTTGGCTATTTTTAATCCAATTCCAGTGTGGCTAAAGATGAAGATATCCTTCCTTTAAACAAGAACTTCATTGATAAACTGGTGCCTTAAGTAGTAAGAGTCCCCAGTATATTAAAATGAGAGGGAAGAAATATCTCCCACAACACATCCCCCTGAATCCTGAGAGGAGGCTGGTTAATACTTAATACTGTGCTTGCTGATAAAGTCTACATGAAATCAACATTTTTTTTTGCCATACAGATATCACCAGACTTCATTTCTTCTTGGATAGCTAAAGGCACAAAGAACCAAAACTGTGAATTTTATGAAATATTAAGAATATTGTGAAATTTTATTAATATTATGAAACACTGACTTGAAAGAGAGGTATCTGAGGAACTCTGCAGTCTATTTCAGTTTGAAAGAAAAAAGTCAGGCAACCTTCACAGACTTACCAGGTATAACTCAAAGGCTGTATACAAACAAACCAGGTAGCAAAGTTGAGACTAGCGAACTTCAAAAATGTTCAGCAGAAACAAACTCCCTGATTTAAAGGCTTCATGCTTTTCTATTGCAAAAACAGGTTTGTAACTTGGAAGTGATCACAAGAGAAATCCCCTTCCTGAGACTACATCCAAGCTATAATTCTCTATGTAGTTTTAACTCAACCCACAGTGGCATTTCAGCTGTTTGTGATGGAAACATCCCCGAGGCTAGCAACATGAGCTATTTTGCTTCAGACTGAATGCACCTTAACATAACGTTCTAATTTCAGGCCAGCCAGGTCAGAGTAATACCTAGCCAGCCATTAAAACATGGTACTCTTAGGAACAGCTTTGCCAAGTGACTTAGTGTCAAATAAATAGAAAAGTAGTTGTCTAAGTATTTTAATCTGCTCCAGGGACCTTTTATGGTCAAGCATATGAAGACAGGATAATTCAGGCACAGAAAAACAAGTAAGTCTTGTGATAGGCCCTTAAAAAGTGACTTTCTGCTACTTTCTGTATAAATTATTTCAGATGATTCAGACAAACATGACCCATCTTTTTGGTGGGGGAGTATTAAGTCACGTGCCTTTACAGGCTCAAATTCCTGCCAACAGAGAAAAAATTACTTTCATATGAGGTGCTTTTGTTAACAGAAACTCTCTGTAGGAGCCGCAATTCTATGTGAGCTTGCTCCCCTCATAATTACCTGCATTATGGGGTGGGAAACAGAAAGAAAATCTAATGCATCTTACGAAGCATCAAAAAGTGACTAATTCATAAACTTGATAATCTATAAATGTACAAGCTCCCGCTCATGACATTTCCTTTGCAAAGATGTGGAGGTACAAGGAAGGTCTTTGAAAAGAGGTCTCTGATGAAACAGAAAAACAGAAACTAAATGTCAAAAAATCATAGAATCATAGAATAGTTATGGTTGGAAAGGACCTTAAAATCATCTATGTCCAACCCCCCTACCATGGGCAGGGACACCTCACACTAAACAAAGGAATGGACTTTGAGGTTAATGCTAAGAAGAGGTTTATGTAATTATGGTGGATACCAAAGCAAACATTGCTGCTCACAATTACCATTTCCACACTGAAAATTTGAGGGAAGTGGGAACTTTTGTAATTCCCTTGTGTAGCTTCCCAGATCTCAAGCTTTCCTAACTGCAGCATATGGAAAGTTTCTTCAAACCACCCTAGAAGGTTTTTTCTTTTTGTTGGTTTCAGGGCAGAACACCACACCATTTTCTTTCAGAGATTCAGATGCAGTGAGAATGCTTTTGCACAGCCATAACTTTAAGGATGACAACAGGGTATGCAGAAATGTAACTGTCCAAGCAGGCTTATCAATGGGAAGATGAGTTTTTGCTGAGATGAAGTCCTAAGCAGATTAACCAAAACTGTCAATGTAAGTGGTTATATCTCTGAAGTGCTAAGCATGGAGGAGTCCCCTTGACATTAAAACCATGTCATGAACAGTTAGTAACTACCCTACTACATACCTATATTAACAGGACCAGAACACAGGCTTCTAACAAAACAGTGAACAAACTTCTGCAACAATGAATAGAACTGAACTTTCAGTTCAATGACCATTATTCTAGAGATCTTCAGGTAAAAACCAGAATAAGAATAAATTCATAAACCCAAAACAAACACCCAAATTTCTGCTTCTAGTTCAAGTTTCTGATCACAAACTTTTATATGAAATATTCAATTTCCTGACAGAGAACATTCTGGTTTAACAGCAGCAGTTCCAACACCTTAAAAACACAGTGCAGAGCCACCTCACTAAACATGCTATTAAGTAACCATCTACCTTTGATTCTACTTTTTCTTGCATGTTTCTGAAAATGGGATAAAAATCAAGCAGTTTATGCTGGAATTTCATTCTAAATGTTGTAGTGTTGTTATTATTTACATACTGGAAGTACTGTACATCACATTATTGTAAGAAGATGAATCAATTCATAAAGCGTACGCTGATCTTTGAAGTAGACTATCAAGATTATAGGATAAAAGTACATGACTGCATTTATGAAGTAATCACTACCCCTGCCCAAGGGATTTATACAAAACAGCTTCTAAGGATGCTTTTCTTATCCATCAAGCCAGAGCCATACAATAGTAGTACACATGCCAACAAGAAAATATAGATGAACATCTATGATCTGCAGAGACAACTGCTTTCAGAACACTCCATTTACCTCCTTATTATTAGTGCAATAAAAGCAGAAAGGATGTGAAAGTAATTAATTGACATACATATTTAAGGCATTTCAATCTCTCAACAGTGTAGGATTAACAACTCTATGCTTATTAAAGTACTTCATATTGTTTATGTTACAGTAGTGCCCAGAGGCCCTTACTGAGGCTGAGGCCTCTCAAGCGGAGCATTAGAAAAGCATTATCACATTGACTCAAAGAATTCCCTTCCAAATTATTTTTTAAAACAGCCATGTTTTAAGACAAATTACTACCTCTGTAAGCTTTGCTACAGTTTTTGCTGTTCAGCTCATCCTTACTTTTAATCTCAAAAGTACAAGAATACCGCACGTTTTTAAACAGAGAGAATCACAGCTCCGACACACATCTGCCCTAGACTTCTCCCTGCCGTTCAGGCCATTTAGTCTAGGCACACAAGCATTCCTCCATTTACCAGTACCTGTGTAAAGAGGTATGTATAACTAGACTGCTGCCTCTCCACTCTCTACAGAACAAAACCCCAAACCAAACCCTAGCATTAATAAGTCTGTGGGAATTTGAAACGTAACTAGCAAAATGATCTGGGACAAATTAGTAGGCTCCTAAAAGTCTCACTATGATCAAACTACCAAGTGTTAAAGTTCACGTGGAAAAAGCAGAATCTGCATCAACTTCTTAGAGGCATTATTAAACAGATGGTTCAATAATACAGCTTTCCAAAGAAATAAGTGTGTACACAAACATTAGCACAATCTGCTGTTGTAAAAATCTGTGCCTTTCTCAAAGTTTTTTCTGACATAAATATTTTTTCCCAACTTCAAAAGCTGTACTGTCATATCCTGCATAATTAACTGTTGGTTTATACTAACTGGCCCACTGAGACTCTTCATTCTATTTTACTTGTAAGATGCGTTGAATGAAAGCCAGCCCAACTCTCTCCAGAGAGTCTAAACAAAAATTTAAATTACGAAGTATTAAAAAATCATTAGGTAACCATTAGTACCAAACAAAACACAAACATCCCTCAGGTTGCTCTGTGCAAGTGAGTTAAGCCAGTTAGTCTGATGCATTTTCATTTGTTATGAGATAAAATGTAAGACTCGTGATCAAGTATTCTACAATCCAGTGTATGGTGGCACAGCAGCCATAAACCTACTGGGGATTAGAAGTAACCCACCTGCCAAGCATACTACTGCATCCTGTACGGTTACAGGCACTAAGCAGCCAGCACCTACGACAGCTCTGGTGGCAGAGTCCAGCCATAAGCTAAACTTTTCTGTAGTTCGCTAATTTCAGTGACAGGCTCAGCATTAAGCTATCAATGTATCAGAATTTCTCTACACTTGATCCCCCACCCAAACAGATTTACACCTGACCTGTCTTATGCATGTTTTATAAGAAGTTTTGGGCTGCTGCAGTTCAATCCTTAGCAACTGCAATTAAGTTCCTTAATTTCCACAGTTTAACATTGGAGTTTAATATTCTGTTCCAACAAATCTTCTCTGGAATTCATATGCTCTTAAAAGCTTAAGGGAGAACAGATTTTCAGTGAGATTCCCTATTTTCCTGTCTCAGAGAAGGATCTTACCAGGTTGCAGAGCTTCTCTTCTCATTCTCTTAAGAGAAAAAACTGCTCCACTGGAGCTGTAAGATCCCAGGTTCTACCTTCACTCAAGAAAAACAGAAAATCTAGAGCACAATGCAACAATTCCAGTATTCTTCTAGAATTAACAGTCTGCCCGATAATGAATAGTTTACAAAACAAAGAAAAAGCACTTTGAATTTTCATTTTAAAAGTCACCTTGTTTCATACCTCAGAACTGATTGTTCACATCTAGGCAAACTTCACAACTGGAAATTGATCTGAAAAAAAGTAAACTTGATAAGTTACTTACTGTAAATTTGCTACTTTCACTGATACAGGAATGTGGGGAAGTTGAGCGGCCCATTTCAGTGTAACATCTTGATAAACATTCAACATTTTACTATGATTTCCAATTAGAGTGTTTATTGTTCCTTCTTTCACTGTTAAGAGATACAAAACCAGTTTTAGGATGACAGATTTTCAAAAGCCAGTACTTTTCTTATATCATTACATTATTTTTTCTTTTGAAGACATTAATTCTTATAAATTAAAGTACCAAAGTTATGGAAGTTACATTGACAATAACCAAGGACGTAGGTGATTAATTATGGACACCAATATCAACTGCACACTATAAAACATATCCAACAACTGGCTCTAGCCAGCCACATCACGATGAACAAAGATTCCTAATTGCCAGAACAGATGTGACAACATACACATTGGTTAAATATTAGCTACTGAAACTCTTCCTTAAATGACTCATGAATACTGATTAAAAGTGTATGCATTTGTAGAGTTTATTTACAGTAGAATTTAAATCAGAAAGCATAAATTGTGAAAATAAGATGATATTTTAAATCTAAAGACAGTGTCAAAAAATTTATCTAATACCATTGGAAAAAGAATAGGTATGAAGAATCTGTAGTTCTATCATAGCATCCAACCAAGGTGTTTCCAACACAATGTAGTAAGTTTCATCTCCCACCAATAAACTTAGTTTGATTTTTTGTCACTGTCCATAAATGACAGAAGGTTTCAAATACTAGTTTACTCGTCCAAAAATTTCTCAAACGTCTGTTGCTTTGGCAGTCTGGGCAAACTTACTCAAACAGTAGACAAGCACCTAGGTTCGGTGATGAGAAAATACCTATTCAGATGCTAAAAATTATGAGACATCACACTAAGTAATATTTGACAATCAACCTAGTTCATCTAAAAAGAGAGCTCTGATTCCATAGATTTCTTAAAGATCAACAGCTTGTTGAGAAAAATCTATTTATTCGGGGGCGGGGAACCAAACAACTTGGCTGTAGAAGAAACCAAGCTACAGTTCAGTTGACTTTTCCTTTTACAAACCTGAACAATAAGGAATGAAGCAACTCGGGCTGTAATCAAGCTTTTTCATGAATCGAATCTGCCCATTATCCTTAAGGCAAAAGAAGTTTCTCTCACCAAGCACAAAAACAGAAGAAACTGTCTGATTAAAGGAGACAACGCATATATCCAATGCTTGCTCACCGAGGTTTAAAACCCAATCCACCTTCAAAAGAAAAAAAACACGCTCCAGAGATCAGTCAACAGCTGCATATTAAAGACAAAGCTTAGAGAACACTCAGATCTCATCAAGTTACATGAATATCATTAACATAGAAAAGTAAAATCAAGGTCTTTTTCTGAGGAAGGGTTATCCTATTATTTTGAAGGCAACTGGTAATTTTCCTTATTGTGAGTAAAGCAGCAAAAACATCCACTTTTTAAAATAGTCATGAATAGATGGCTAAGCACTTAAGTATATTCAAATTTTAATACACACATCCCATTCAGAAATAAAATGCTTCATGCTTTAACTATTAAATCCAAGAGCAGAATATTAAATTCATTTAAATCTGTACATATCTTAAGATAAAGGGCAAGATTAGAGACAACAGGTGGTAACTTATTATACTAATACATGTAAATGGAAAAACAAAGTTTTAGCTGTCTCAGCCAACATTCATGTTTACAACAGTCAGTAATGTACACCCTTCAGTCTGATGAACGTTTGTGTGTATTAGTGTATTTTTCCTACTACATACATGGATATAGTAAGCAACTACTTAAAAATTCTGCCTTGCCTATACCCTTACATCTCTAAATACTACTGCTTATTGATACATTTCATTGGTTTGTTGTTTCAGCTCCTCCAAGAAATTTCAACTAATTCACACATGAAAAACCGGCTTTTGACTTCTGCCAAGTTGCTTAAACATGAATTCTGAATTCCTGAAGTAAAAGAAAAAAAAAAAATCCAAGTTGAACTGTCAGCACTTCCTATGAGAACAGCATCAACCACTTTGAAGAACATAGAATGTGTTTGTAAACACAGTTGCGTATCTGATACATGAAGCTGGAAGTGCCATCTTAAAAGACAAAGGTAAAAAAAGCCTGGCTTATTATATTTGTCTCCATGTATGCTTCTCATTTTAGATTAAAAAATAATAATATTTGCAGTATATCCAATTTTCTTATTTAAAAACTGTGTCTTCTCCTAATGCAAGATTTAGGATTCTGACTGACAGTTTCAAGAAAGTTGTATGATTAGCCAGTAGAAGGAAGATGCTCTCCCAGTATTTTACTGTCATACCTGAAATATGCTGAGTGTACACAGAGCATTAAGTAGACAGGTAATTCCATTCCAGGACCTCAAAGAAGGGCATTTTCTTCCTCTTAATAGGAGACAGCTCTAATATCAAACAACTTAGTCACAGGGACCTCCTGAAGACTATTGAATCCACAGGTTTTCTGACCAAAAAGAGTCCAGGATATTATTTATGGAACTGGTTTTCAACTACTGAGTTTCCCTAGTAGAATGAGGTTCATTTTCCAAGTCCAGTACAAAGTCACAAATAAACTTAAATTAAAACCATGAGCTGTTTTCCCTATTATCTATTTTACCTCAGTTCAAGTTCTGTATTACACAGACTGCCTTAGAAATAGTCATTTCCAGCACACAGTCCTCTTATGGGGCTTTTTTTTCTCCTTTGAACATCAGTGAGTTTTAAGGCCCAACCTTAAACAACTGAAAGAAATCTTAATAGAAATCTACTGGATTCTTTCCATTTCCTTTAATGGCAATTGGATCAGGTCCTTTGTCAGCAGACAACGTTTCCATCTGTTACTTAATATTGGTTTCTTTACCATGTAGGCAACGTACCATACAGGTTAAGTAAAATAAACAGGTTTTACCACAAGTCTTTTTCCAGAACCAAGTTTTGCCTGGTCTGTTTCTTGTCTTTCATCAGCATCTGTTGCAAATGCCAGCACTTGGTATCTGTTCAGAAGAAAGGATGTTTAAAAAAGTAAAAAATAAAATGTATCTTTGTAGTTAATATCCTTATATTAAGAAAGAATATAATTATCATATTATGAGTATAGATGTACAGTAAAGCACAGTCTGAAAGGATTGTCAGAAAACCTACTGCAACACATCTGTCAACAGCAAAGATGATGAGATAAATATCACCGTAGGCTAACAGCTAAATGTAAAGGCAGAAAAATGAAACAAACATATCTATTCACACTTTATCTGGTGCTAAATTATTTCAACAGCTAAATATATTAGAGGATAGAAGTCTAAGCCACAAAGACAGCAAGAAACCAATTTCTTTTCAAATTGTGAAATCAGTATTCTAATACAAAATTGACTTTTCCCCTTAAGCTTTATAAAACTTCCTAAACTACCCAGAAATACAATCTGCTATATATAAGTTACTCTGAAACACATCCATTAACTAAGTGGTTCCAATCCAAGATATAACAGTAAATTGGCACCAATAGGTTGCACATCTAGCTAAGGATGAGAGGTTTGCAAGTTTGGGTTGGGATTTATTCTTTTTAAACTGCCAACCAACCACTTAAGAAAACTGGCAATGAAGAGATTAGAACAAAAGATGTCAACTGCCAGAAAAGCTTTGCACATCCATCCTCATATGCAACCCTCAACATTCAAAATGTCCTCATTGAAACTTTTGTAACTTATTCCTTTCCTGAATTTATACTGCTGTCTAACATACTGAACTACTCCATTGCTCACATATCACTAAGTAGTTAGTGAAATACTGAAGTTTGCTACAGAAGTGAAATAACCAAGAAAAAAAATTATCCAAAAGACAGCATTCGATTCTGGAAGTCATGGAGTGCCATCAGCTCCTAGGCTCAAACCAACACAATTCTGAATGCTCCAATTCAAGTTTAATAAATTATGTATTTTTCTAAATTGTCAAACTTGCAGCTTTAAAAAGATGATACCAGCAGCCCTCACATTTCAGGTGCATGTATCGTAGTGCTCATACCAAAGGATTTTAGTTTTTAAAAATATTTACCTACAGAACTATGTACTTGGAGTAAGAAACTTTAACTGCTTAAGGTGAATGCTATGACTTACTTAAAAATACTATATAAGCTGCTTTTATTACAATTATTATGTCTTTAATTGTCCTCTATATGAACAAATTCACTTCCTTCTTTCAGTTTAACATCTGTAGGATAAGCTGCAGATTCTGACCAAATACATATTTTTCTTTCAGCATATTTTATTGACAGTCTTAGCTGGCACATTAGCATTTTATTATATAATCAGGGACTAACAGTTTTCAAACCAAACTCCCATTGATCCCTAATATGCATTGATGTTTAATGTTTTAATGGAGAAAGAATAAAGCAAAGCAAGCATCAAGTTCCTTGGTCTTTTCACACCTTTGAAGTTGCCCAATCTGTTTGACAGTGGGCCAATTCCTTAGATTTGCCTTTTTACAACTGAAATATCCATGGAAGTGCTTGTTCTTCGTACCTTCTGCCACCAGGAGTTTTAACAAATCCCTGTCTCAAAGCTCTTCCAAAAACTGAACAGATTTATCAGGCTAACACCTATTTGCATCAAAATAAAAATCCCATTGAAACAACAAGGAGGAGTATCTTCCTCAAGCAGTATAGGGCAGACAACGCTGAAAGCGCAGATTAGACTGAACTGAAGCAGGGAAAATCCTTACACTTGCAGGACAATTTGATGAGCTAGTATACCTAACACACTAATGCAAATAAAATAGGACCCCAAAGTCCTTAGGACACAGGATATGCTTTCTTCTATGACTGCGCAGAGACAGTCATCAGTAAACAACATAAAACATTTTTCTTCTTTCCTGCAATTACTTATCACCTGCTTTGGGATACTACATTGGTATAGGCAATAAGTATTAGACATGATTACTTTTGGTTTACGTGCTAAATGATAGCACCAAAACATAATCACCAAATATGAACACATACTTGTAACTCTCAACCTGTCGACAAGAAGACACTGTAATGAAAGAATCAGTTCGAGAGCTGTATGTCAAGGGACCAGGCAGCAGAAAACCAGGTAGAAAACGGCCAAAAGCATAGCTTTCCTGTTCAAACAACATGAGCATCCCATCCATGGACTGTATACATATCAAATCGCGACCTGAGAAAAGCAAAAGAAATAGAATACAAAGGAAACAAAGGATTTTTATTTATGTTGTTTTAATCCTAAAATTTTTAGTAAATTAAAATTGTACTCAGAAGTAATCCTAACAAAAATAAGATTAATTGTAATTTACATATTTACTATGGGGAAAAAAATGCTAAATATGCCAGCCTCAATAAAGGCTTGCTTACTAAAATAAACTAGATTGGGGTAGAATAACATTCAGAACATATTAAGAACAAAACAGAGAGTCACATATTTTATTTAAAACCAAAATTCCTAAAGCTATTACTATTACAATCTCAGTTTAAAGAAATGTTTAATACTGCCAAAACCCCAAATTACTTGGGTTCTTAAATGCCTCCATACCTTACAAGCAGTCATAACAACCATGGTTTAAAAATACCCTATTCTACTCTTTCAAGTCTACTTAAGCAAATACAATACAAAGTCCTACAAATATATATTGTTGTGAAAATAATACAATGGTAATGTTTTCCACACTTTGCATTCACATTTCTGTCTTTTGAGAAAGAAAAAAACAAAACCAAACCAACGCAGTCTGTGTCATCAACAAAACCAAGGAGTTATTCTATATAGAGGACAATGAAAACTCATCTTCCTAAGCCGAAAAAAATGTCAGAATCTGTATTAATATAGGAACATGCTATACAGCAGCATTTCAGTGTGGAAATCATTACTGTTCAAAAGTAATCAGACTGAGATTTTGCTTGATCCTAAGGACAAACCAATATATCTTTGGGTTTTTTCTACTACTGCAAGTGAGAAAATGTAAATATATCATGTTTATAGCAGCTCATTAAACCAGTGACCACTTGTCACTAGCAGCTTCAATTCGATGATTTCAGACTCAAAAGTTTGATCTATAACATGCTGAAGTTTGTACCACTACACTGGAAACCTGAAACATTTTCAATGTTTCCTCTTCTACGTGCAGATTAAAGTCATACCTCCTTCTAGAAAATGTAGACTCTTTATGTCTATTTATGGCAAAAGTCAATGAAGAAATGTTTCCTTTGACTAAATGCAGTCATTTTTGAGAGAATTATTATGGGTTGAGAGATATATTGCTATATTTGAGAGAATATATATGGGCTTGTGGATACCCAGAATCATTTTCTAAACAGAGAAATTGGTTTAGAACGAGGACTTCCCTAGGATTTTCTACACAGACTTTTAAAACTATAAAGTATCATCTAGGGCTTCTGTTCCATCTTAGAATTTATTGGTTATAAAATTAGAAACACACAGTATGCAAACACATCAGACATGCAGATATACACACAACTCTTAAATGTGCATAACTCATGCATTTCCTCTGAAATTATTTGTATAAAGCAGCTTTATTAAGTCTCTGAGAATCATTTACCCTCTTAAACATTCTTCATAGAACAGCTTCCAGAATTTTCCGATTTATTCATAAGTTGTAGATGAATTCTACACCTAAAATACGCAGTATTCAAGAGGTTACAGTGACTGCTGATCATAGTCAGCGTATTTGGTTTGCTGCTTATACTGCGTCTCTGAAGTCCCAGCCAAGAGCACTGCAATGACTTTGCTAGCAGATGATTCGGAAATAATAGTGATCTACAAGTACCTTTTATGTTTCAATTAAAAAAATAAAGATGCATGTGAAGATATATGCATACCATATATGCATATATGAAGCTATTAAAGTTACAATTCCAAATGCCCTCCTTTTCATCACTAACTGCTGACACTACCAACTACTATTAGTGTAAATTAAAAATACACATTAGTGTAAATTAAAAATATATACATAAAAGAATTGTAACAACTACACTAGTTAAGTTCACTTTATCACTTGAAGCACACTAAGGCTGTGAGCAGATAAATGAGAGAAATCAATCCAATGCTAAGGAGGCAAGCGATCCCTGCTCACTCACCTCCTTTCCTGTGCCTCCAGCCCCAAGCCAGATCTGGTACTTATCTGATGGCTGTTAAGCTGACAGCAGGACTCATCCTGAATTTGTAGTTTTTTTAAGTTTCAGACAAGTAAGTCATCACCCCACATAAATAACTCCATTCAAGCTTAAAAGTGTGACATAGCTCTGGGCATGATGGTTAAGGATATACATGTCCAGATGGTTTTCCTCCCTTCAGCCTGCTGAGAAACCTCTTTGAGGACTGCCAGCTGTTTGAAAGAGATGGGATGCTCTGACTAAATCCAGCAGAAGTATCTTTGCCAACAGGCTTGCCAACTCAGTAGGAAAAACTTAACACGTAAGTGGACAATGAGGAAGACTGAAGACTGGTTAAACTACCAGGCTGAGAGGTGTGATGCCATTCAGAGGGACCTCAACAGACTGGATATGTAGACAGACAGCAATGTCATAAGTTCAAAGGGAAAGGCAAAGTCCTGCCCCAGGAAGGAATACCCCCAGGCATCAGTACACACTGGGGACCAAACAGCTGGAAAAAAAGTTCTGCAGAGAAAGACATGGGGTCTGTACCATGAGCCAGCAATGTGCCCCTGCAGTAACGGCAGCCAACAGTACCCCAGGCTATATTAGGAAGAGTATCAACAGGAAGCTGAAGGAAACAATCCTTCCCCTCAACTCGGCATCAGTGAGGTCACATCCGCAGTAGTTCTGGGTCCAGTTCTGGGCTTCCAGTACAAAAACACATCTGGAAACATACCACAGCATGTCCAGCAAAGGCCACAAACATTATTAAGGAACTGGTACATCTTTCAGATGAGAACCTAGAGAGCTGGGGGTGCTCAGCCTAGAGAAGAGAGAGTGCAGGAGAACCTCACCACTGTGCATTAATGCCTAATGAGAGAGAAGAAATAAGACAGACAGACTGTTCTCTGTGGCATGAAATTACAGGACAAAAGCCAACAGGAACAAACTGTACCACATGAAATTTTATCAGAACATGAAAAAAAAAAAAGACTGGTGGGTTGGTTGGGTTTTTTACCATGAACACCAAACACTGGAACCCATTGTCCACAAAGGTTGCAGAATGTCCCTCCATGGACATACTGAAAACACAACTGAACACAATCCTGGGCAACTTGTAGATGAAATTGCTTGGAAACTAGGACTGAACTAGATGATATCAAGAGAATAATAATTCAAATAAAGCATTCTATCTTTCATCTCTGATCTACTCTATCTGCTCTTCAATGCTGTGAAATTTCACAGGATTTAGTCCTACCACATACTCCTGATCAGCAAACAATGGAAACCATTAATGGGAGCTGGTTTGCACTGTTACGCTATCAATGTTAATGACCCAGCTTCCACTTCCCAACAGCTGCTGACAGCATTATCACACTGCTGATACAGTCTAGAAAAAGTATCCAGCTGCATAAAATTATTAGTAACCAGTAAAAGTACTCTCAGAAACTTGTACAAACACTGATAACTAGTAAAACATGCTAGCCCACTGGTTGCCTAACAGTTTTAGCTAGTTATCTTATAGTTATTGGCTACTAGAATTAACTAGTGGTATTTTCATCTGGCTTGCAAGAAAACAGTGCTTCATAATCCAGGTGTCCACATGACCACAGCTACTCTATATCTGTTACCTCAAAACCACATACATTCACATTCAAAGGCATACTGAAAACTCTCTCAACCCTATATACTAGCCAACTATTCAGTTCCACTCGATTTTACACCTTTATCAAGAACACAATGCTGTAAGACTGGATGTGGAGAATCTTCAACTCTCCTTGCAATTTCCTATGAATTTTCCTACCATCAGCTGTGTGCTAGAGAAGAAACCTGCAGCTGTCTGTCCTATTTCCAGAACCTTAACTCTCAATGTCTAGCTTCTGTGGAACTCCCTTGCTACCTGAAGACAAAGATGACAGAAATCAGCCTGCAAAATGCGTTGGTTTTTTTTTGAAGGCCCAGTAGCAGAACACGTTTGTTCTTTGTTTGTTAAAGCTTCTTCTTCTTCATCTTTGCTTCCTTAGAAAAATACAGGCAAAACCAGAAGGGAAAAAAAAAAAAAAAAGAAACACACACCTACGCTTCTATTCTTTGATGACACAGAAAGACAAACACTACAGCAGATAAAATGGATATGCAGTGGTCACTAGTAGAGATATTACAACTCAAATAACAGGAAAAAGTAAAGGCCAGTAGAAGTGTTGAGGTGTTACTGCTTAAGTAACAAGTAGTAATAGCTTCTGCTTCCATGTGGATTATAAGTATCAATCTTATTCATACCAATTGCATTACATCATGAAAATTATTAAAACTATAGCACTTTCTGCAATAGATGGAGCTACCATGTTAGACATGGAAGCATTCATCTTTAACATTCATAGTCCCTGATCACATACAAATATCAAAGTTAAAATCTCTCCTGTTTTAACATTAGTGATATGATTGAATATGGTAAGATTGATATGAATATATGATTGATATGAATATATGATTGATATGAATATATGATTGATATATGATTGGTATGACTGATAGGAATATATGATTGATGTGATCTGACAAATTCTTTAGAGCACTCCAATGATCTCCAAGAATACTGCAGTACTGAACTGCCTTGCCTGAAGAAACACATATAAGGCACCTAAGACTGAATCACTAATCACTTTCTGACTTGAAGTCTACAGCATTACTTCTTAATATACTACCGCTTTATTCATCATATTTGTGCCGATACCACTCACTAACTTTCAGCTCTGGATTTTAACTAGCTTTTACTAGTGGTTCAAACTCCAATTATCCAAACTATTACATGTAAAGCATAATTAAAGAAAACTAAATTGTGTATGAACTCTTTTATTTCCCAGCATTTTATAGGTCAACTTATTTCCTTTGGCCATTTGTTTTTAATGTGTAGCTAGTGAATGGAGTTTTTATGTTTCACTTTAAGAAATGCAGTTGTCCAAAAACTGGGCCAGAAATGTCCATTTCAAAACAGCTTATTGCAGCCAGTTGGCTTTACCAGTGACATATTTATAAAGTGAAAATACAAAC